AATAAAATGATAAATAATAATATAATAATATAATATAATAAATAATATAATAATAATAATATAATAATAATAAAATAATAAATAACAATAAAAAAATGATAATAATAACAATAATATGATAATAATAATAATAAAATAATAATGATAATAATAATAATATATAATAAAATATAATAATATAATATAATAATAGATATAATAATATATAAATGATATAATAATAATAATAATAATATAATAATGACAATAATGATAATAATGGCAATAATGAAATAATGAATAATGATAATAATGACAATAATGAATGATAATGAAAATAATGATAATAATGACAATATGATAATAATAATGATTTAAAAATAATGATAAATAATGATATTAAAATATAATAATAATATAATAATAATAATAATAATAATAATAATAAAAAAATATGATAATATAATGATAATAATAATATAATATATATAATAATAATAATAATAATAATAATAATAATAAATAATAATAATAATATAATAATAATAAATAATTATAACGATAATGACAATAATGATAACAATCATTATCATTACTCTATTATTATCATTATTATTCTTATTATCTTATTATTACTATTATAATTGTCATCATTTCTATTATTGATTTTATCATATTATCATCATTACACTACTATTATGATTTCATATTCATTATAGTTTCGTTCTCATTATTGTTACCATTACATTACTATTACTATTATCAGCATCATTATTATCATCATCATCATGGTTATTATTATCACATGGTTATCATATTATATTATCACATGGTTATCATTATCATCATGTTATCATTATCATCATGGTTATCATTATCATCATGGTTATCATTATCATCATGGTTATCATTATCATCATGGTTATCATTATCATCATGGTTATCATTATCATCATGGTTATCATTATCATCATGGTTATCATTATTATCATCATGGTTATTATTATCATCATGGTTATCATTATCATCATGGTTATCATTATCATCATGGTTATCATTATCATCATGGTTATCATTATCATCATGGTTATCATTATCATCATGGTTATCATTATCATCATGGTTATCATTATCATCATGGTTATCATTATCATCATGGTTATCATTATCATCATGGTTATCATTATCATCATGGTTATCATTATCATCATGGTTATTATCATCATGGTTATTATCATCATGGTTATCATTATCATCATGGTTATCATTATCATCATGGTTATCATTATCATCATGGTTCATCATTATCATTATCATCATAGTTATCATTATTATCATCATGGTTATCATTATCATCATGGTTATCATTATTATCATCATGGATATCATTATCATCATGGTTATCATTATCATCATGGTTATCATTATCATCATGGTTATCATTATCATCATGGTTATCATTATCATCATGGTTATCATTATCATCTAGTTATCATTATTATCATCATGGTATCATTATCATCATGTTATCATTATCATCATGTTATCATTATCATCATGGTTATCATTATCATCATGGTTATCATTATCATCATGGTTATCATTATCATCATGGTTATCATTATTATCATCATGGATATCATTATCATCATGGATATCATTATCATCATGGTTATCATCATGTTATCATATGTTATCATCATGGTTATCATTATCATCATGGTTATCATTATTATCATCATAGTTATCATTATTATCATCATGGTTATCATTATATCATCATGGTTATCATTATCATCATGGTTATCATTATATCATCATGGTTATCATTATATCATCATGGTTATCATTATTATCATCATGGTTATCATTATATCATCATGGTTATCATTATATCATGGTTATCATTATTATCATCATGGTTATCATTATTATCATCATGGTTATCATTATTATCATCATGGTTATTATTATCATCATGGTTATCATTATTATCATCATGGTTATCATTATTATCATCATGGTTATCATTATTATCATCATGGTTATCATTATTATCATCATGGTTATCATTATTATCATCATGGTTATCATTATTATCATCATGTTTATCATTACTATCATCATGGTTATCATTATTATCATCATGGTTATCATTATTATCATCATGGTTATCATTACTATCATCATGGTTATCATTATTATCATCATGGTTATCATTCCTGTCATCATGGTTATCATTATCATCATATCATTATTATCATCATGGTTATCATTATTATCATCATGGTTATCATTATTATCATCATGGTTATCATTACTATCATCAAGGTTATCATTATTATCATCATGGTTATCATTACTATCATCAAGATTATAATTATTATCATCATGGTTATCATTATTATCATCATGGTTATCATTATTATCATCACGGTTATCATTATTATCATCATGGATATCATTATTGTCACCATGGTTATCATTATTATCATCATGGTTATCATTATCATTATGGTTATTATTATTACCATCATGGTTATAATTATTATCATTATGGTTATCATTATCATCATGAATATCATTATCATTATGGTTATAATTATTATCATTATGGTTATCATTATCATCATGATTATCATTATCATCATGATTATCATTATCATCATGGTTATCATCACGGTTATTTTATCATCTTTTTATTGCATATATAAATGTTATTTCACACACACACATAAACATATGCATATATATGTATGTATGAGTGTATACTCCCGGATGACTTCGGGAATCATTACATTATTAAATATTATTTGTCTACCGTATTCATAATAGCCTTTGTAATGAGACGAATGTTGAATATTTTGACTCGCAGTCATTTTTATAACAGTGACCTTAATATTTAGAGTGCAATATATTCCCCATTATAAAGAATAATTTCAATTAAGATTTGATATTCAGTCGATATCAAGGTTATGACATCATATACATCACATCTAAAATCCCAGAAATAGCCATACACAATGACCCTTTCCCAGGAGGTCAGGTCATGTCCACCTTCTTAACACCAAGAAAGGGTGATGATTGCGCTAATCCATTCAGGAGGTACAGCGAGGAGTGTTCATAGATCCGTTTGGCAATACGATACTTCTGTCTTGTATGCTCCCCGGACTATTAAGATATGTTCTTTGAACTGTATGAATTAATATTATTTTTAAGATATTCAATAGAATCATGGATAATCTCTCTGTCATACATACATACATACATACATATACACACACACACACACACACACATATATATATATATATATATATATATATAATATTATATATATATATATATGTGTGTGTGTGTGTGTGTGTGTGTGTGTGTGTGTGTGTGTGTGTGTGTGTTTATGTGTATTCATATATATATAAATTAAACACACATTATATACATATATGTATATATATGATAAACATGTCTGAGAGAGAGAGAGAGAGAGAGAGAGAGAGAGAGAAGAGAGAGGAGAGAGAGAGAGAGAGAGAGAGAGAGAGAGAGAGAGTATATGTATGTATATATATTCTAATTTGAAAACCAACCACTTATTGAAAAAAATTACCATGATTATTATAATCATGATTACTATCTTAGTATTTTAAATGGTGGTCATTAATATTATTGTCATTATTATTAGTGCTTCTGTTATGATCATATCATTAATAGTTATTGTGATCATTTTCATTTAAACTGTTGTAATGATAACCATCAATAGTTTTATGACTCATCAGCGTAGGACAGTATGCTCAATGTATACGTTCGATGTGTCAAGTGTGCGAAGTAGAAGACTCCAACAGGATGCAATAAGATTCATGTAAATATTTACTAATAGTAATGGAATCAAAATACTGTATATGTAACATGTATTTATTGCAGAAAATACAGAATATAGATCTAGTAGCACCAATTTGTATTCTAGCATAGGATGATACATTTGCATTACAAAGATAAAAGTAAATGCATATATACATGAAAAGGAAAACAGATATCCATACATGTGTAAACGTTTACGCATCTGTGCGTATACCCATATATGTATACGAATATACGCAGAGATTTACTGACATAAATGAAAATACGCACATAAAGTACATTCCAGTAGAATTGTCCTAAACCTAATTTTAGCCTAATACCTGAGGTAGTTGCAATGTTAGACTAGCACAAAATGCGCACTCGCCCACCGTCACCATGTAGAAAAACACATGGGACCAAATTACATTAATACAGTAAATATATATGGGTAGACTGTATCCTAAACTTACATAATACCTTCATTGACAATTGGACCAACCTTCAAAGTACTATTTCACAGGATCAACACACTTACTGGGAGCCACCGACCTTAATGCTGATATATATCTTTTAAATTCACACTATCTGGAAGGCCACCGCGTCAACGTAAGTCATTGACAAAATTAAAGACTATAATATGCTACATCTTAAAAAAATAACTTACAACAGAATCAAAGTTTAGGATTGGACAAATAGGAATACTGTATAAAAGCAGAACGGATTATGTATATGTGAATGCGACATTACTATTGGAGAACACCAACACTAATTCGGAATATTCTTTTCTATCCATGACTACTGCATCAGCAGTAGTGTCGGTGGTTGCAGATATAATGTATTTTGCATTAAGGATATTGGAAAATACGTGAATACGTCCAAAGGTTTCTGATATGTTTAAAGTGTAACTAAAACTAAATCTTACACTAAATCACGTTGAAGGTTTATCCAGTAGTTTCCAGTTTCCAGTTATGTTTAAGCTGCGTCGTTCCCCGGTTCTTTATCCAAAAGAAAGACCAATGATGATCTGCTTCTTCGTTGGGGTCATCCAGTCTGTGGAAAACAAAATTGCCTGGTGACCATCGGATACTCAGTATATTGAATGGCCAGTAGTTCACATTAGGTTTACATAGACATGCATTTGCAATATCATCATATGATTCACCATTGCGTGCAACTACCATTGTCCCTGATTAACTACTTGCCGTGATCATTATCCCAGAATGACTACTCACCACTATTGTTGGCCCAGACTAATGTTTCAACAAAACCGTTGTCCCAGACTATTGTTTCAACAAAACCGTTGTCCCAGACTAACTACTCACAACCATCATTATCCCAGACTAACTACTCACCACCACCGCTGCCCCAGACTAACTACTCACCACCACCGCTGCCCCAGACTAACTACTCACCACCACCGCTGTCCCAGACTAACTACTCACCACCACCGCTGTCCCAGACTAAGTACTCACCACCACCGCTGTCCCAGACTAAGTACTCACCACCATCATTATCCCAGACTAACTACTCACCACCACCGCTGTCCCAGACTAACTACTCACCGCCACCGCTGTCCCAGACTAACTACTCACCATCACCATTGTCCCAGACTAACTACTCACCATCACCATTGTCCCAGACTAACTACTCACCACCACCGTTGTCCCAGACTAACTACTCACCATCACCGATGTCCCAGACTAACTAACTAGTATTGTCATTGTGAACTTACCTGGATGGATGGTTATGCGATGAACACCTTTTTAGGTAGCCAAATCTGGAACTATTTCCTGAAAAAGGAAAATATAACTCACTTTTAATTTCATAGTTGTAATTCCGTTTAAGTGGTAAAAATAATGGCTAAATCCATAATGCACCGATAATAGTCCAAGTATACACAGGGAACTTACCAGTGACGGATTCACAAGACTCCAATTGATACGTTCAACGGAAGCAGCTTTCTTTGCTTGCCAACTAGACCTGCAGCACGCGATGATATGAAGAATTTCTTACTTGCTGATTTCTGTTTCAGTGTTTGCTACAGACTTGCACCACATTGACTAGGATATGAAGCACCAGTTGGTATGACGTGAACAAGTCCCTCCTCCTCTTCCTCCCTCTGACACAAGAGGAAGAGGAGGAAGACACTGTATGCGTGTGTTGTCTTGTGTGTCTGAAGTTTTCACTTCTTGCCCTTTAAGTACTGTGATGAAATGTCCACTCTCTAAGCCCCGCCCCCATTCCTCGAACCAATGAACTCCACACTTGTCCTCGGAACCCCAAGACCCAGGTCACATAAGGTCAAACATTGAAGCGGACCCGGAAATGAACTGATGGATTCTTATAACACTGAGCAATTTCGAAATAAGCCAAAGAAACAATGGTGAGATTAGTAGAATTTTTTTGAAAATGAAAACATCTTGTTTCACAGTTTTACATAAATATATTTACATTCCTTCCGAAATGCTTATCATAATCATTAACGTTTTCATTATCATTGTAAATATCTTCCTCGTTATCATTAATATTATTAACAGCATTTTCATTAACAATATTAATAGTATTATCATTAACATTATTCATAGCATCATCATTATCATTAACATTATTAATAGCATCATCATTATCATTAACATTATTAATAGCATCATTATCATTAACATTATTATAGCATCATTATTAATATTTCCATTATCATTATCATTATCATATATATGTATATATATATATAATATTATATATATTATATATATATATATATATAATATATATATATAATATATAATATATTAGTATAGTAATATAGTAATAGTAATGGTAACAATAATGATAACTATGAGGATATTCAAGATAATAATCATAACAGTAATAGCAATGATGATAATAATCGTAATAGTAATGATAATGATAATGATATTAATGATGATAATAATAACAATAATAATGATAATAACAACAACAATAATGATAATAACAACAATAATAATGATAATAACATTTTTGTCATCATGGTTATCATTATCATCATGGTTATCATTATCATCATGGTTATCATTATCATCATGGTTATCATTATTATCATCATGGTTATCATTATTATCATCATGGTTATCATCATTATTATCATGGTTATCATCATTATCATCATGGTTATCATTATTACCATCATGGTTATCGTTACTATCATCATGGTATGTTATTATCTTCATGGTTATCATTACTATCATCATGGTTATCATTATTATCATCATGGTTATCATTATCATCATCATGGTTCTCATTACTATCATCATGGTTAACATTACTATCATCATGGTTAACATTACTATCATCATGGTTGTTCATTATTATCATGGTTATCATTATTATCATGGTTATCATTATTATCATGGTTATCATTATTATCATCTTGGTTATCATTACTATCATCATGGTTGTCATTATTATCTTCATGGTTATCATTATTATCATGGTTATCATTATTATCATATTGGTTATCATTACTATCATCATGGTTATCATCATGGTTATGATTACTATCATCAAGGTTATCATTATCATCATGGTTATCATTATCATCATGGTTATCATTATTCATCATCATGATTATCATTCTTATCATTATGATTATCAGTATCATCATCATGGTTATTCATTATTATCATCATGGTTATCATTATTATCATGGATATCATTATTATCATGGATATCATTTTATCATCATGGTTATCATTATTATCATCATGGTTCTCATTACTATCATCATGGTTAACATTACTATCATCATGGTTATCATTATTATCATGGTTATCATTATTATCATCATGGTTATCATTACTATCATCATGGTTATCATTATTATCATCATGGTTATCATTACTATCATCATGGTTATCATCATGGTTATGATACTATCATCAAGGTTATCCTTATTATCATCATGGTAATCATTACTATCATCAAGGTTATCATTATCATCATGGTTATCATTATTGTCACCATGATTATCATTATTATCATTATGATTATCAGTATCATCATCATGGTTATCATTATTATCATCATGGTTATCATTATTATCATCATGGTTATCATTATTATCATGGTTATCATTATTATCATCATGGTTATCATTATTATCATCATGGTTATCATTATTATCATCATGCTTATCATTATTATCATCATGCTTATCATTATTATCATTATCATTATTATCATCATGAATATCAATATTATCATCATGAATATCATTATTATCATCATGATTATTATTGTCATCATGGTTATCATTATCATCATGGTTATCATTATTATCATGGTTATCATTATTATCATCATGGTTATCATTATTATCATCATGGTTATCATTATTATCATCATGGTTATCATCATTATCATCATGGTTATCATCATTATCATTATGGTTATTATTATACCATCATGGTTATCGTTACTATCATCATGGTTATTATTATCTTCATGGTTATCATTACTATCATCATGGTTATCATTATTATCATCATGGTTATCATTATTATCATCATGGTTATCATTATTATCATCATGGTTATCATTACTATCATCATGGTTAACATTACTATCATCATGGTTATCATTATTATCTTCATGGTTATCATTACTATCATTATGGTTATCATCATGGTTATGATTACTATCATCAAGGTTATCCTTATTATCATCATGGTAATCATTACTATCATCAAGGTTATCATTATCATCATGGTTATCATTATTATCATTATTATCATTATGATTATCAGTATCATCATCATTGTTATCATTATTTTCATCATGGTTATCATTATTATCATCATAGTTATCATTATTATCATGGATATCATTATTATCATCATGGTTATTATTATTATCTTCATGGTTATCATTACTATCATCATGGTTATCATTATTATCATCATGGTTATCATTATATCATCATGGTTCTCATTACTATCATCATGGTTAACATTACTATCATCATGGTTATCATTATTATCATCATGGTTATCATTATTATCATCATGGTTCTCATTACTATCATCATGGTTCTCATTACTATCATCATGGTTAACATTACTATCATCATGGGTATCATTATCATCATGGTTATCATCATTATCATCATGGTTATCATCATGGTTATCATCATTATCATCATGGTTATCATCATGGTTATCATCATTATCATCATTGTTATCATTATTATCATCATGGTTATCATTACTATCATCATGGTTAACATTACTATCATCATGGTTATGATTACTATCATCAAGGTTATCCTTATTATCATCATGATAATCATTACTATCATCAAGGTTATCATTATCATCATGATTATCATTATTATCATCATGATTATCATTATTATCATCATGATTATCATTATTATCATCATGATTATCAGTATCATCATCATGATTATCATTATTATCAATGATATCATTATTATCAATGATATCATTATTATCAATGATATCATTATTGTCATCATGGTTATCATTATTATCATCGTGGTTATCATTATTATCATCATGGTTATCATTATTATCATCATGATTATCATTATTATCATCATGATTATTATTATTGTCATCATGATTATCATTATCATCATGGTTATCATTATTATCATCATGGTATCATTATTATCATCATTATCATCATGGTTATCTTTATCATCTTTCTATTGCATATATAAATGTTATTTCACACACACACATATATGTATATATGAGTGTATACTCCCGGATGATTTCGGGAATCATTACATTATTAAATATTATTTGTCTACCGTATTCATAATAGCATTTGTAATGAGACGAATGATGGATATTTTGACTGGCAGTCATTTTTATAACAGTGACCTTAATATGTGCAATATATTCCCCATTATAAAGAATAATTTCAATTAAGATTTGATATTCAGTTGATATCAAGGTTAAGACATCATATACATCACATCTAAAATCCCAGAAATAGGCATACACAATGACCCTTTCCAGGAGGTCAGGTCATGTCCACCTTCT